AAAAAAAAACATTTAAATACATATCTTAGGGTCATTTTGCTAACATCACCTTATCTGACCTTTTCTGCTTGACTCATACATATACTAGATATTGCAAATAAGGGAAACCATGGGACCTATGTTTCTTTGGGCTTGGCTTACTTCACTTAATATATTTTTTCCAAGTCTTTCCATTTCCTAACAAATGGGGCAATGTCATTCTTTCTGATGGAGGCATAGAATTCCATTGTGTATATATACCACATTTTCTTGATCCATTCATCTACTGAGGGGCATCTGGGCTGGTTCCATATCTTAGCTATGGTAAATAATGCTGCAATAAACATAGGTGTGCTGGTAGCTTTAGTGTGGTCTTCTTTGTAAACATTTGGGTAAATGCCCAAAAGTGGGATTGCTGGGTCATAGGGGAGCTCTATGTGGAGTCTTTTGAGGAATCTCCATACTGCTTTCCAAAGTGGTTGAACAAGTTTATACTCCCACCAACAATGAAGTAAGGTTCCCTTCTGTCCATATCCCCTCCAGCATCTGTTGTTATTAGAGTTCTTGATTTTTGTCATTCTAACTAGGGTGAGGTGGTATCTCAATGTTGTTTTGATTTGCATTTCTTTTTTACCCTCACCACTTTATAACACCCTATCTCTAAGTATAGTCACATTTTGAGCCGTTAGGACTCTAACATGAATATCTGTCTACCTACCTCCCTCTCTATCCTTCTGTCCACCTGCCCACCTACCCATCATCCAATCACTCATCTATCATCTAAGCATCAAGTAATCAATCATCTATCTATGTATCTATCTATCAATCTATCTATCTACTATCTATCTATCTACCTATTATTTGTGTATCTTGAGACAGGGTCTTCACTTTAGAATATTGACTAAAACACTATGAACTTGAAGAAAAACACACAGCTCTAGAACAAGCCATCAATTTCTAACCTGTGGCATCAGACCTGTGAGGAAGAGAAGGGGCCTGGGGAGTCTGAGCTCCAGAGAGACGCCTCTGCCCCGTGCACAGGAGTCCAGGCTTCTAAACGACCCATGTGGGCTAGTTTACAACCTCCACAGGATACCAAAGCACTGAGGAAAGGTTAATGAGGAACTTCCTGTAGAGGAAGAGATGACATTAAGTCTCCTGGCAGGATGTGACAGGAAGTGCCTGGTGCAGTGGATCACTCAGCCCGAATCTAATCAAGCCCCTAGACACTCTTTTAAGCGAGCAGAGAGCCAAAGTTTAGAGGAGCCCCAGAGGGCATGAAAACGCTGTCACATCCCCAGTGTAGGAAATCCTACAGCATAAATGGCCGATTGCTTTTCAGAATGAAAGGTATGGGAGGAGGGAGGCCTCCTGCCTGTGGAACAAAAACCAGAACACTGGCCACACTTGGGCCCTGATTGGAGCAATCTTTTTAATAGAGAAATCAGAAATCTGGTTACGCAATAGCAGACATGAAGAAATTACATGTGTGTGTGTGTGTGTGTGTGTGTGTGTGTGTGCAGCAACTTTGTCCTTGCTTGGTGTTGGCTTTCCAGAGTCCTCCTGCCCCTGTAGAGGGTGTGTGTGTGTGTGTGTGTGTGTGTGTGTGTGTGTGTGTGTGTGTGTGTGTGTGTGTGATGAGTCTTAGGTTTCCATGATACTGCCTAGCACAGATGGTGTGGGTTTCTGGGCTGGGACACAGGGCTCGACCCCAGGGTCATCGCCTGTCCCTGACCTCCTGGGGCAGAGACATCTCAAATGCACAGACCCATCAGGCCTGTAGGAGGGCACAGAATTCTGGGGTCTTGGGTACACAATGTGTTCTGGAAGAGGAGTGGTGTTGCAGGTGGATGTGACTTGTGGGGCCTTTGAGCTTTATATGGAAAAGGCAGACAGGGAGGACAGGGAAAGGCCATTAGAAAGTTGCTCAGAGCAGAGCCCTTGCTGGGACCAGGGCTCCTGGCATGGAGGACCAGTGTGTTGTTTACAGGGACGGAACACTGAGTGCCAGCCCTCCTCCACCCCAGGGCCGGTGGCCTCTGCGTGGCTTACCACACGGTCAGGCAAACCCAGACATGGAGGTTTTCTGTTGCTGCTTTTTGTTTTGTTTTGTTTTGGCAGTTGTGGGACTTGAACTTTGGGCCTGGGCGCTGTCCCTCAGCTCTTCAGCTCAAGGTGAGCACCCTACCACTTGAGACACAGCGCCACTTCCGGTTTTCTGGTAGTTAATTGGAGATAAGAGTCTCACAGATTTTCCTGCCTGGGCTGGTTTTGAACCATGATCCTCAGATCTCACCTTCCTGAGTAGCTAGGATGACAGGCGTGAGCCACCAACGCCCAGCTTCTGTTGCTGTCTTTGATGGCACCATAGGGGCTGAAGGGGTTTCTTGGTGTCCTGTGACTGCCTGGCTGGCTCAGATTCCTGGTTTACCTGTTGAGCTGTCCCCCAGGACATGTGCCTCTTTTGTCTTTGTGTCATGCTCACCAAACAGGGCCACATCCAGGCCCACTGAGGCCTGAGGACTGGGGTTGGCCTGCGGGCTCCAGTTTAGAACCCAGCTCTGTAGGTCAGCTTGGTAGGGGCTCACTGAGCATTATTGGTTCATTTCCTATTCTAGGACCCTGTGGCATTCTGGCCAATTTCCTTGTGGGAACAAAATCTCCTTGAGCCTGGACTCATCTCAGAGCCTCTCCTGGTGCTTCCTGAAGCCCCCAGAAGCTTCAAGGGGGCAGGACCCAGGCATCAAAAAGCCCTAGGTGGCTGGCTCTGGGGGAGCTGTCACTCACAGGGCCAGAGGGCTGTGGTCTCTTCCTGTTCCCAACACCCACACTGCCCCCTGCTGGCAGATTGCTGTAATTTTCCCCATCCTTTTCAGACCTTTTCCATGCTTACTTATTACTATATTATTAGTATCTATTAGTACATATTGGTATCTATTAATTGTACAAAATGTATCCATACATGCATATAATGTGCTGTGATGGAATTCAACTTCTCAATTTCTCAGTCTTTTCCCATTCTCCATCTTTAAACCAATTATCAACAGGCTTCCTTGTTCTACTTTCACATATGTGTATAAAGTATTTTGACCATAATTGTACCTCATCACCCTCTCCTTTTCCTCCTTTCCCTCTCCACATTCCATTGGATCCCCTCCCAAGCAGTCCCTGCCTGACCTTTGTGTCATTTTCCTTTTGTCTAGCTTCCTCATGCAAGAACACGCAGCATTTATCTTTCTGAGTCAGATTTGCTTCACATGATGATCTCGTTCCGTCCATTTTCCTGCAAATGCCATAATTTCTTTTCTTTTCTTTTGTCGGTTGTAAGGCTTGAACTCTGGGCCTGGGCGCTGTCCCTCAGCTCTTCAGCTCAAGGTGAGCGCTCTACCACTTGAGCCACAATGCCACTTCTGGATTTCTAGTGGTTTATTGGAGAGAAGAGTCTCACACACAGACTTTCCTGCCTGGGATAGCATTGAACTGTGATCCTCATATCTCAGCCTCCCGAGTAGCTAGGTTTATAGGCATGAGCCACCAGCGCCTGGCTATAATGTCATTTCTTAGTGGCTATGTAATGTTCTATTGTGTATATATACCGCACTTGCTATGCTTGGACACCCTGCTAGCCTTTATATGTGAGTTTTGGCTTTACCGGGATGGTATGTAAGCAGTTGCTGAAGAGCTGTGCAGGTGCTCTGGAGAATGGGGGGTACGTTGTGGTTTGGGGGGGCAGCAGCCAGCATGTGGAGTGACCTCAGCATGTTGGTCTTCTCACATCCTGTCACACTGTGGCTCACTCCTAGAGACAGGGTCCCGGCTCCTTTAGCTGTGTGTGACCTAGGGCGAAGCCCCCTCTGCAACTCCCCTACCTCTACTCCCCACCCCCATGCCCGGGCCGACTTCTGCCTGTGTGAGCTCGTGTGTGGGGTGGATGAGGAGCTCTGCAGGCTTGGGCCTCCAGGTGGGATGCTGCTTCTCTCCCACCATGGCCTGTGGGGCGGGGGAGGGGTCTAGGAGCCACATGTCCCCTGGGGTTCCTGGCTAGGCCAGCCTGTTCACACAGCTGCCCGATGCCCCCTCCTGGGGATTTTCCATCTTGGATTGCTCTGCTCCTGCGGGGCTGTGGAAAGCTGGCCTTAGTCAGGAGCATGATTCCTATCCAGACAGGCCTGGCCTGGGGGCCTTTCCTGCAAGCCACACAAGTGAGATTAAGCAGCAGGCCAGGTGGGCGCCTGCCTGGGTGCTGTGTAGGAAGCGTTCAGCGCAATCTGCGATCCGCTCCCTTCCTGTCTCTGCTCCTCTGCACAGGCTTCCTCCAGCCACGGTCCCCAGGCAGGGTCCTCACACTGGCCTGGCACTGGACGAGGGAGCCACGGCAGGCCAAAGACCACTGGTGTGAATCGGGGCCGGGAGGGGAGGATCCAGAGGGCTGCCCGCCAGGCCGCACCCGGCTGCCACTCGTGCCAGCCTTGTCTGAGACGCCAAAGCCAACCCGAGGGAGCTTGGAGCCTCCTCCTCCAGGATCAGTGCAGGCCTGACTCCCAGTCACGGTGCCAGCCCGGCGCCCTGATCTGTGGCCTTGGGCGGGGAGCAGCTCTGTGGTTGCTTCAATAGTGGAGCAGGGACAGCAAGAGGAAGGCTCCTCGTATGCAGGAGATTTGCTGGGTGGCTTCATATATTTGGGTGGCTTCATTCTCTCACTCATTCATTTATTCATTCATTCTCCTCCTCCCTGAGTGTCTGTAGGCATTCGCTGGGAGCCAGGCATGGTGCTAGGTGCTGGGGTAAAAAGCTGAATAAGACTGACTTGGCTCTTCAGGGCCTCGGGCCGCAGGGAAAGCTGAGGGGCGCTGCCCTGTGGTTTGCTCCAGGTGGGAGGGTGAGCCAAGGCTGGGCAGGTGAAGGGAGGAGGGGCCCCGTCTCGCCCCATTGGTCCACCAAGAAGATGACCCTGAAGCTAAGCTTCCAAAGGTGGGCAGAAGGTTTCCTTCCAATAAAGCACGGCGAGGCATCAGAGACAGAAAGCTTTCTTTCTTGTTTTAATGATCATAATAGAAAATACAGCCATGACAGTAATAAGTCAAACAAAGGGAGATCTCACCACTACGCTTGTACAACTTGGAGGGGGACATGTCTAAGCAAAGAGCACACTGAACTCCTACAGAACGGCAGAGCCTCTTCTCAGTGACCACAGGGCTAACACCAGACATGCTCAGGGAAGAAGGGCCTAGAGGGCTAATGAAAACTCCTTTTTGTCAAGTAAATCACGGGCATTTACAAGTCGATTAGGAAAAGGTGAGTAAGATGCTGACACAAGGTGCTCCGGCATGAAGACCAGGGCAGGCAGGAGGGGTTGAATTGAGGAGGAGAGAGAGTATCTGGATGGGGGATAGGGCTGAGCACATGAACAAAGCCAGAAGTCAGACCAGACCCCGAGGGGCCCAGTGGCTGTGTCCCCCCAGCCTCTTGGGTACCCTACTTCCAAGCTCTCCCCCAAGGGAGCTCCTCAGAGGCCCTGGCGGAGGCTGGTCTCCGGAGTCCCAGAAACAGAGGTTGCTGATGGGACTAGCAAGTGACTTGTTCAGCCTCCGCTTTCTCTTTTCTTTTTTTATTTCTGCTTCTGGGGATTGAATCCAGAACCTCACACAGGCTAAGTGTGTTCTCTACCCCCCCGGGCCACGCACCCAGCTCTTGTTTTCCTGTTTTGTTTTTGAAACAGTCTCTGTCTTTCTGCTAACTTTGCCCAGGCTGGTCTTGAACTCAGGATCCTGCCTCTGGTGGATTATACACCCAGCTTTAGCCTGTGCTTCCTGGGGTTTCTCTCATCCAGGATGGGGGGCCCCTTAAAAGCCCCCAGAGTATGGAAATAGAGTCATGTGAATTTCTTAAGACTCATTTGACTTGCCTTCAGCTGGAATTTTCTGGAATCAACCATTGCTCAGTTGATTTCCTTCAGTGATCCACACAGGAGCAAGAGTGGGGATTTCCACAGGTCTGGACGTGGTAGTTCAGGCTCACGGAGTCCCTGGCTGCCCCCCGCAGCGTTGGGCTGGTTAATGCTCCGTCTGTGGGTCCGTCCTGCAGTGTAGGAGTTAACGGGCACCCCCGGCCTCCAGCCACTGGGGTGACACTGCCCGATGTCCCCAGGGGGATGGGAGGGCGCCGCTGTGCCTACAGTGTAGAAGCAGCACCCTGGTGGGGCTGCATGCTATGGGGGGGTGCTCTCCTGGCTCCCAGTCTTGTTGGAACCCCCAGAACGACCAGTGTTATGCCGACTCACGGAGACACAGGCCTTGAGAGGCTGACACAGGGGACCCGGCCTGTCTTGCCACACAGAGGGGGTAGGCTCAGTGGACAATGAGGACTTTGGGGTACCCCAGAAGCTGAGGCACACACACACACGCACACGGTCTCAGCATAAGCTATAGGATTTGTGATTGGTTGGTGATCAGGGCAAAGGAGACAGAAGCCTTCCCCTGGGGGTGCAGAGCTGGAAAGAGAATGGGAGGCAGTGTGGGGGTTGGGCTGGAGCTGTCTGGGTGGGGCAAGGCTGTTGCCATGGTTACCAGGCAGCATCCAGCCTGGGCATGTCTCGGCTTGCACGGAGGCCCGTGTGTGGCACACTTTTAAGGTCCGCAGAGACTCTGGTTCAAAAGCCAGAGTGGGTGTGGTCACCTCACATCTGGAGATTCACCTGTCTTTCAGGTGGAGACGGTTCTCACGCTGGGAAGAACTGTGTCCCCTCCCTGCTCACTGTGGTCCGTGTGGCTCCTGGGTCGCTGTCCCCTCCCTCCATGGCCAGTATTTCTCCAACACGGATCTCAGGAAGATTCCCCTCCCTGGACTCCACCGGGGCTGCGGACTCCACACTTCTGGGGTCTCCGTACTAGATCACCCACCCCCTCCCCATCCCTCTCGCTGAGTGACCAGGGTCAGGGCTCACAGGGCAGGCTGGCCAGGTGAGTACAGACAATGTAGGCTCCAGCGGCAAGCTTGGGCCCCGGCTAAACTCCTGGCAACGCAGCTCTCCCCCACAGCACTGGGGACACCCCTTCGGCATCTCCAGGGTGCCAGGAGGGGCCTGGCAGCTGTGGGTGGAGCACATGATCCCGGCTCCTGGTGAACACAGCGGCCAGGTGCCCGGCGATGGCTCTCTGTGGACTCTGGGGACCTCAGTGCTCCCCATGAGGATGGAAGATCCCATCAGATGCTCTCTAGAGCCCTGATGCTGAGGTTCAGAGACTCAGCAGATGTGCTACACTGCCCGTGGGTGGACGCTGGCCGCAGTGGTGTGGTGGCAGGAAGAGCGGAGGCTGTCCGAGGCCTGGTAATCTTGTCCTGCAACCCCCAGAGACCAGGGCCAGCCTCTGTCCGCTGAGATGTCCTCCGCTGGACAAGGACACACACGCCTCCTCAGACCGGTGGCCGGCTCCTGGGCTTTTTTTTTGTTTTTTGCAATTATCTGCTCCACCCTGGAGGGAGCTGCTGCGCCTCTCTCTTCGTTTCCTTTGAACGTTGTACGGAGTCAGCTAGAAGATGCCCCAGGCTCGAGGTCCTTCCATTCTGGTCTGCACAGGAGCTTCATGCAGCAGGTGCTGGGCAGAGTTCTTCTTGAGGAAGAGCCCTGCTCCTCCCCGCTGCCCCCAACCCATCTGGCCTTTCCTGGGGAGCTTCCCTGCCAGGACTCCAGCCACCATGTTGTAAGGAGGGGAGGACACTGGCTGGAGGAGGACAGGATCATGGGTGCTCATGTGATCTTAGCTGGGATGGAGAGAGCACTGAGTCGAGACCTAGGAAACACTTGGCCGTTCCAACTCCCTCCACTGGCCAGCCCTGGCACCACATGCCAATCACGTCCCCTCTGCCCCATCCATCCAATCACGAGGCAGGGGTGGGGCTTGTTCATCTCTAAAACTCCACAAGTCCTCAGAGAAGGAAAAGTCAGCAACTTCACTTGAGTAGTAATTCTTTTTTTTTTTTTCCCCTTTGGGTGGCACTAGGGTTTGAACTCAGGATCTTGCACTGGCTAGAAAGGTACTCTACCTCTTGACCTCCTACTCTCTTTGCTTCAGATACTTTTTGAACAGGGCTTTGTGTCTATGTTTAAGCTGACCTGGGCTGCAATACACTTATTTATGCTAGGACAACATTAGCTAGGATGACAGGCAGACGCCGCCACACTTCAGATGGGCTCTTCCAAACATCATGCCAAGCTAGCCAGCAACCATGACACTCCTAATCGCTGCCTTCCGAGTAGCTGGGATTACAGGCATGTGCCACCAGGCCTGGTAGCAATTCTAATTTTTTAAAAGACATCTTCCCTTCTTCAAGGATCAGCAAGTCCATCTAGTAGATAAAACCAACCAGCAGTCTCCCAGAAACCCCACCATGGTCCCAGTGGCTCCCACCTCTAGGTTCCAGGCACCCCAGGGTCCTGTCTGGGGCCAGGTGTCAGGTGACCAAGTGCCATTTGTAAGTGAGATCAGGAGCCATCCATACGCCAAGGGATGGGCCCAGAACCAAGGCTGGGTTGGAAACTCTGAGTTCTGATGACAGCTTTGGTCCCAGAGCCACAGACCAGACCATGAACAAGTCCCACAAATGATTACTGCCTGCAACAAGCGATCACCAAGCCTTGTCTACAGCTCAACCCTAACTGGCTGCTCCAGCCGGTCTGGGGTTTGTGGGTGGTGTTTTCACGGACTCTCTATCCTGTTCTACGTGGGCCTTGGTCCCCCATGTGGCTGCGACTCCAATTTCCATGTCTTCTCAATCAGCTTGACCAGAGCTGGGAATGCGGTCTGGGGAAAATTCCAGATCCTTGGTGGCTGCCCCGAGGGGAGGCCATTCCAGGGCTCAGCACTGCTGGTTTAGAGCCAGAGGCCAGCAGCAGGGCCGGGCCACGCGGACAGCCACGGCCCACGGCGAGCCCGGTGGAAAAGACGCCGTCCTGCGATGGCCGGTGGCCGCTCCCTCAGAAGGTGAACGCGTAGACCACGCCCACCACCACGATGTTCCCCAGAGTGGCTATGATGGCAATCCACAGCAGGACGGCGTCGTTGGAGGAGCGGGGTGGCTCCTCCAGCTGGCCGTGGCCGTTGGAGGCCGCGTGGACGTTGCTGGAGGAGTTGAACAGGGAGTACTCGGTGCTGAATTCCTCGTTGGGGGAGTCCATGAACACCCCTCCCATCATGGGGAGCTGCGGGAGGGAGAGAGAATCAACCAGGGCCGTGAGGACACCCCACCACCACCACCGAGGACTCTACCTGCCCCCCCCACTACCAAGGATTCCACCTGCCCCCCTCCACCGACGACTCCACCTTCCCCTCCCCCCCACCGAGGACTCCACCTTCCCCTCCCCCGACGACTCCACCTTCCCCTCCCCCCCCCACTGAGGACTCCACCTTCCCCTCCCCCGACGACTCCACCTTCCCCTCCCCCCCCCACCGAGGACTCCACCTTCCCCTCCCCCGACGACTCCACCTGCCCCCCTCCTCACCACCGACGACTTCCCCCCCCCCACCGAAGACTCCACCTTCCCCTCCCCCCCACTACCGAAGACTCCACCTGCCCACACATGGAAACCACCGTGCATTTAGCTGAGCCCATCAAAGGCAGATTCCGAAGCCTTTGGCGGCCATCTCTCCTGTGTCAGTCTGCACACACAAGCTTGGAAGAACTTCTGACAGTGCATCGGGATGGGTGAAGGCCTACAGGCCCCACCCCGCCCCCCACCCAAAGGCAGGGCCTTCTGCCACAGCTCAGACCATAAAATGCCTTTATTCTTCTCCTAATCTAAAAGACAATGTATACTCAGCATAGGACACCAAGAAGATATGAGAGGACAGAGTGAAAAGTGAGAACCACAATCCCAACATAATCGCGGTTAACAGTTGGGGATCTTTCCAATCTCCTTTCTGAGAGAGGGGGAGACAGAGACAGAGACAGAGACAGACAGAGACAAAGACACATGTTGAAATGTGAATTTTTTATCCTTGCATTAAAAAGCCCATCAGAGGAAGTGGTTCTGTGGCTCAAGTGGTAGAGTGTTGGCCTTGAGCTGAAGAGCTGAGGGACAGCGCCCAGGCCCAGAGTTCAAGACCCATAACGGACAAAACAAAACAAAACAAAAGAACCCATCAGAATCCCCTTTTTTTTTTTTTTGGGTCCAGTCATGCGGCCTGAATCTGGGCCTGGGCGCTGTCCCTCAGCTCTTCAGCTCAAGGCTAGCACTCTACCACTTGAGCCACAGCGCCACTTCTGGCTTTTTTCTTTTTGCTTATGTGGTGCTGAGGAATCGAGCCCAGGGCCTCATGCATGCAAGGCAAGCGCTCTACCACTGAGCCACCTTCCCAGCCCCCAGAATCCCCTTTTTAATAACCATCTAGTATTCTGCTATAAATACAAACCATGATTTAATGGTTCCCCTACTGTTGGAAAATTTAGGCTGTCCACTTTAGTCTGTTATAAGTAACGCTTGGGCATCTACTTGGCTGTGCATGCATTTCTCTCGGTGTAGATAGACTCCCATGTACACACTTCTCATATAAGTATTAATATTTTGGTTTCTGGTGCATGCAAAGAGCCAACCCCCTTTCTAGGGGCACGACTGGAATTCTCACCACTCAAACTCTGCACACTGCCCATAAACACTCTGGCTTGCTTGTTTCCAGGGACCAGAACTTTCTGTCTCGATTTTTAAAGGCTCTGCAAGGCTCAGAATAGCGGGGGGTTGAGGCTCTGGGTGGCCCAAGGGGAGAGGGTGAGCCAGACTCCACAGTGAGGCCTCCCCTGCTCAGGGGGCCCTCTCTGAAGGCAGAGGGGAGGAGCACTGAGCCCTGGGAGACTCTGGGGCCTGTTTGGCCCAGGGTCGATGCTTCTCTTAAACAGGACCAGAATGAAGGGACAGGAAGTGGGTGCACAACCTCCGCTCTCACATGCCACACAGCTAACTGTGGGGGACAGGTGAGTCTGCCTGGGGTCTGGGCACTTGTAAGTAGTACCTTGCGGCCTTCTTGACCCTAGACCCATCTGTCTTTGAGGTAGGAGTGCGCTTGGACCTGTGCTGATGGAGGCATCTTTGTAAAGCATGACCATTACTGAGCCAAGTGCTCCCTGAGCACTGAAGAGTAACTTCTGATAGGCTGGGCCCCCCCTCTCCCCTCCCCCTCACCAAAGTTGGACATTTTCATTCATAAGGACACAGCTATGCCCTGAGGAGGGAAGAAGGAAGATGTAGTGACAGAGAGTGACCACTAGGGGGAGTGTAGACCAGGCTGGTTCCAGGGTGAAAATCCCCCCAGTGGTATCTTTCCCGTGTACTGCCCTGTATCCATGATAACATATCCTGTTGAGATAATGAAATCGTTGCTGTTTTAGCCTACTGATGAGCAGAGCAAGATTACAGAGTGTAATTCCACCTCCATTGCCACAGGGTTCAACCAGAGGTTGAAAACGCTGTTGCAGAAAGTGTACTTTCTCCCTCTGCCCTGACCCTGAACACTCAGTTCAGCCCACATCACACTGAAATCTCAGGGTGCCCTGCCTGCCATCGGGGTGGGGGTTAGATCGGGCTGTGACTGCTCTCCACACCAGAGGATGGTATTAGCCCAGGAAACCACTCCGATTCCAAACTGGAAAGCCACATTCTACTAAACCTGCCTGGCTTTCACACTGCTGGAAAGTTGAGAAATTGCAACCAGAACCCTTGCAAGCTGGGGACCATCTGCAAACAATCTTAAAAATATAAAAATCGAAACAGAAACACTGTGGTGTCTTCAGAGAGTGAGGCGATTAGGTTCAGTCAGCAGGCAGAGCCTGGTGGCTTTTTATGAAGAGAGACGTGTTTGTCTACATACATGTACAGACAGTTATGTGTGCCTGTGCACAGAGTTCTGCAGCCCAGGCTCACACACATGTGCACTCACACACACACACCGTGAGTGCACACATGCTGTGTGCTGCGAACACCTCCAGAGCAGCTCTCTCTCCACTCCCTGCAGCAGCCAGAGCCACCTCATTCACTGGTGCTGCCGGGCACTGGTGACTCACGCCTGTAATCCTAGCTACTCAGGTGGCTGAGATCGGAGGATCACAGTTCAAAGCCAGCCCAGGCAGGAAAGTCCTCCAGACCCTTATCTTCAATAAACAACTCCCCCAGAAAGCAAGGCCTCACCATGCACAGGGTCCTGGCAGGGCTCCAGCAGGCAGGACAGAAGGGCTGCCCCTCCACCCGCAGGCCTGGGTCTCCAAGAGGACCCAGGGAAATAAGAGTAATTTTTGGAAAGCTGGAGCACATTGCACAATTAAGAGGGAAAAGCAGATTCGCTCCTTCTGCTCTGAAGCTGTTGCCATAGTAACTGCACAACACAGAAAGAGATAACACCGAGCACCCGGCCTCCACCCAGAGCACTACGGAGCAAGAGCTTGCCCTGGGGACAGGAATGCTCACTGTGTGGTCCAGGCCCCGGCCTCCACCGCTGACCCTTGCTGGCCCAGGCTGGCTCGGCAGCAGTTGCTTCCGCCTGCCCAGCTGGCTCAGAAGCCTGGGTGGCGCCATGGAGCCTCTGCCTGGGCAGGGGAGGGTAGCCGGAGGTTATGGATAGAGCAGGGCTCAGGACGAGATGGAGGAGGCTGGGGCTCAGGACGATGGAGGAGGTTGGGGCTACAGCCTTGCCAGGCTGCCGGGCTGAGTGGGCGTGACCCGCGTCCCGGTGCCCGCTAGAGCCCGCACGCACCCCCCCCCCCCCACACACACGTGATAGGTTGCCAGACACCACCAGCCTGGCCTGCCAGGGAGAGAACTTGGGATCCCTTTCCCGCTGCTCACTGGAAGGAAAATACTGCACTTGTTCATCCCTGGGCATGGAAATCCTCCGAAATACGCGCCATCTTCAGGTATAAAAACGAAGACAGCCGGGCGCCGGTCATCCCAGCTACTCAGGAGGCTGAGATCTGAGGATTGTAGTTCAAAGCCAGCCCAGGCATTAAAGTCTGTGAGACTCGATCGCCAATGAACCACCAGAAAACCAGAAGAGGCGTTGTGGCTCAAGCGGTAGAGCGCTCGCCTTGAGCTGAAGTGCTGCGGGACAGCGCTCAGGCCGAGTTCAAGCCCCACGACTGACCAAAAAAGGAAAGGAAGACACTGGCTTCTACCACCACCCACCTATACCTGATGTCCTCGGCCTCCCTCAGCACCACCGGCTGTGGGCTTGGAGCCTCCAGCAGCCCGTGTACAGATGGTTTAGCGCTCAGTGTGGGTGAGGCATCAGTCCCCAGCCACACAGCCTCACACGGCGCAGACGGTGCCATCCCTGGAGCCCCTGTAAGGTGCTCTGAGCTCTGCACACAGGAGGCCCCAGCAGCCTGGAAGGGGCGGTGCGCGGGCGTGGGGACGCCCCACGGGTGTGTTGGAGGCAGGGCGCCTCTTGCTCATCCTGGCAAAGCGCCTGGGCATCTGGCTACGTGGGGGACATCACCAATAAGAGCCGCCATGCCGTGCCCTGCTCCGAGGGAGAATGTTGTGAGCCCTTTAAAGAGGCCTCCGATGTGGAGGTGGGCTAGGAAACTCTGGGGGCTGAGAAGGAGGGCGGGAGTGGGGAGTGGGGTGGGGAGTCAGAAGGCACCTTCTTTAAAAGCACATCAGGCCAGGTGGTTACTTCCAGAAACTTCCATGGAATAAAATCACACAGGTGGTCATTTCCGGATGCCCACAGACCTGTTTCTGAATGAGAAAAAAAAAAAGTGGGCTATGTTTTATGCAAATGGAGATGCAGGTGTGGCTGGGGGGGGGGCGGTGGGCGAAGGTGCCCGGGAAGGCAGAGGCTACGGGTGGGTGCCACCAGGGTCAGGTCCCCTACTGAACAGGCTCTTTGGCCTCCTTCAGCCTCAGTGGCTCCATCTGAGAAATGGACTGGTTTAGCCATCCCTTCTCCCACTGTAACTCAAACCGAAAACAATAACTTAGTGGTGCAAAGGTTTGTGGCAGCCCCGGCCCACGATCTGCCCTCAGCCCAGAGTGAGGCTGAGCAGGGCATGGAAGGCACTCAGCATGGCTTGCCCCGGTGACCCGAGGACCCACCCGTGTGGAAAGCGAACTCCTGAAACAATCAAGGGCAGGAGGGCCTCGGGGCTCCGCAGCCCTCTCGGGGTGGATCCCGCCGATCGCGGGGCCATCCACTCTACCAGCCCGCCAGCCGC